CGGTCGCGTACATATAGCGTGTATGCACAAGTGTACAAAACGGACCTGCGATGGAACACCACTGACAAAAAGGAAGAACTCAGTGCACGCAACAACCGGAGCAAAAAAAAAAATCCAGCTTTGAAGAGTTACATACTGTATGATTTCATTTCCATAACATTGCTGAAATAATAAAATTACAGACATGGACAAAAGATTAGTGGTAGCTAGGGGTTGGGGACAGGAGCGGAAGATAGCACGAGGGAGTTGCTTTGTGATGGTAGTTCTTGATTTCGTGCTGTATCTTGATGTTGGTGATGCTTACACAAATCTGTACGTGCTATTAAATTGCGCAGAGCTACACCTGTGTGCAGACACAAATCAGTGCATATAAAAATGGTGAAATGGGAATAAGGTTTGTAAATTTTACCAATATTGATTTTCTGGAATGATACTGTATTATAGTTGTGTATGGTATTACCATTGGAGGTAAGTATGTATAGGAGGTCTCTCTACTATTTTACCAACTTCTACCAATTATGAGTCTTTCAAAATTAAAAGTTTAATCATGTTGGATATCCTTATTCCTGTGTATAGATATGGAAGGAAATGAAATCACAGTATCTCAAAGAGGATATGTACCTCGTGTTCATTGCAGCGTTATTCACAACAGCCAAAGCTTGGAAACAACCTATGTGTCTATTCATAGAGAATGAATAAAAAATTGTATAAATATATAAAATTCAGTCATAGAAAAGAAGGAAATCCTGCCATTTGCAACAACGTGGATGGACCTCGAGAGCATTAATGCTAAGTGAAATAAATCAAACAAAGACAAATACTGTATGATTTCACTTGTGGAATGCATACGTGGAATCTAAAAAGGCTGAATTTGGGTTGCCTGGGGGGTTCAACTCTTGATCAAGTGTCCAACTCTTGATCTCAGCTTGGGGCATGATCTCAAAGAGTCCTGGGATAGATCCCAAGTTGGGCTCTGCACTTGGTGGGGGCAGCAAGGGGAGGGTCTGCTTGGGGATTGTTTCTCTCCCTCTGCTCCTCCCCTTGCTCTCTCTCTCTCTCAAATAAATACATCTCAAAAAAAAAAAAAAGATATGTAATGAAGTGAGAATCAGTCATTTTCCTCTGGATCACTCAGCACAGAATATGGTAATCATATATTAAGTAAACACACTCGGGGCCTTCATCTCTGATCAGTATGAATAATGGAGTTCTGGGGCACTCGGTGGCTCAGTTGGTTAAGCATCCCACTCTTGATCTCAGCTCAGGTCATGATCTCAATGTCATGAGATCCCATCCCATGTCAGGCTCTCCCACTCAGTGGGGAGTCAACTTGAAATTCTTTCCCTCTGCACCCCCAAATTTCTCTCAAACTCTCTCAAATAAATAATCATTAAAAAATGGAATCATGCCTCATGTCCTAAGGTCCATCCATGTTGTCCCATTTTGCAGAATTTTATTTTCTTTCAGGTCAAGTATCATCCCAGTGTATTGTGCACACATTTTCTTTCTTTTTTCTTTAGGGTCTTATTTATTTATTTAGAGTAGGGCAGGATAGGAGCAGAGGAGGAGGGAGAGGGAATCTCAAGCAGGCCCCAAGCCTAGCAAGGAGGTGACACAGGGCTTGAACTCAGGACCCTGAGATGGTGACCTGAGCCAAAACCAAGAGTCAGATGCTTAACCGGGTGTGCCTCCCAGGTGCTCCCACATGTTTTCTTTTATCCATTTGTCTGTTGGTGGTCATTTAGATTATTTCTTGGTCTTCGCGACTGTGAATAGTGCTACAACAAACACGGGGATGTGGATACCTCAAGACCCCGACTTCAAGTTCTGTTGGAATAAACCCAAAGGTGCTGGATGGTACGGTAGTTCTATTTTCAACATTTTGAGAAACTGCCATACAGTTTTCCACAGTGGCTGCACCGTTCTACCTTCCCAGAGGGGCCCCCATTTCTAACCACCATCTGATGACACTAACTCTTTCCAAGATCTCAGAGAACCGAGAAAGGAGAAAGTGGAAGGCATTGGGGCTTGGGCCCTGGGTGTTGGGAAGATGGGACTGAAAAGTTTTTATTAGGGACAAGATGAAAAAGGAGAGGATGTTTTATGCGGGATGTGGCTGTCGGCCATCAGTCATTGGGAGATTAGGATAACACTAGTATTTGATTCACGTTTTAACAATTTGTCAATTCCTGAGCACCCATGAAATTCTAATGGACCGTAAGATGCAACAGAATTGCCCCGAGTTGGCCACAGCCTAAAGCAGGGGGTCAGAAAATATGGCCGGCAGCCAAATCTGGCCACCACCTGCTTTTGCAAATAAGGTTTTATTAGAATACAGCCACTCCCATTCATTCTGTGGCGTTCACAGTGCATGGCAGAGGTGAGCAGCTGCATCGGAGACCATATGGTCTGTAAAGCTTAAAATATTTTTTGCAGAAAAGCTTGCTGACTTCTGGCCTAATATATTACAGTGATTATTATTTTTCTTCTTCTAAATTTTTGAGAAATGTCAAATCTACAGAAATACGGCAAGGATGCTATAATGAATATTTATATGCCCTTTTCCTTGATTCACCACTTAACGATTTGTCACATTCGCTTCCTCTCTATCAGATGCAGATAACTCAATATTCCTATTTAGTGTAGATCTAAATAAGTACATGTATATATAGATTGTATATACGTATAATACATTAGTATGTATCTCCTAAGGATAAGGACAGTAATTCATGTAACAACAGAAATTTACCACTGATGCAAGAAGCGGACCACATCCAGATTTTCCAGCCCACGTTCCTGTGCAGTATTAATCAGTGCTTTGAGTGGTCACGTGTCTTTCGTGGTCTTTGATCTAGAACCGTTGCCCAGCCTTCTTTCTTTTCCCCCTCAGCTTTTAAGGTATAATTGACAAGTAAAACAGTAAGATTTTGGAAGTGTACATCACGAGGACTCAGTACACATTGTGGAAGTATGGTTTCCCGTTTTCATGACATAGAGGCATGTGGAGAGTGGGAAGTAGTATTTTGCAGAACGTCCCTCATCCTGGATTTGTTTGCTCATTTCCTGAGGATTAGATTCAGGTTTTAGCATTTTGGCAGGAATGACAAAGAGGTGGCGGATGTGTCCTTGTCTCAGGAACCCCTGTCAGGAGCCCAGTGATCGTTAGTACAGCAAAACCACCCCAACGGTGGTATTCAGGTGGGTTTGACTTGCTCAGACCCAAAATGACAGGACTCAGCATGGCGAAGCTTACAAATCCACAGTTTATTCAAGGAATAAAGGGCACAGCGGCAGCATTCAAGTAAGGAAACATATCACAGGCAAAAGCCATTTTACCCCCAGGATCTGGAAAACCCAAGGTCCTGTTACCCCGCTTTTGGCTCAGGAAACCACCCACATGTGCACAGAACACCCTGGAGCAGGCTGTGTTCCTACAGAGAATATGAGGGTGCACACGGGTCCCAAAGGTTTGCAGTCATGTGGGGGTTGGTACACATTTATTTGTAATCGTGTATTCTCAGTGTACCAGAATTCATTGTTTATGCACCACACCCCGTGCTCCATGCGGTCATGCCCTCCCCAATTCCCACCACCAGGCTCCCCAACCCTCCCGCCCCTCCAAAACCCTCGGTTTGTTTCTCAGAGTCCACAGTCTCTCATGGTTCGTTTCCCCCTCTGATTTCCCCCAACTCCCTTCTCCTCTCCACCTCCCCATGTCCTCTGTGTTATTCCTTATGCTCCACAAGTAACTGAAACCATATGATGATTGACTCTCTCTGCTTGACTTATTTCACTCAGCGTAATCTCCTCCAGTCCCGTCCATGTTGATACAAAAGTTGGGTGTTCATCCTTTCTGATGGAGGCATCATACTCCATAGTGTATGTGGACCACATCTTCCTTATCCATTCGTCCGTTGAAGGGCATCTTGGTTCTTTCCACAGTTTGGCAACTGTGGCCATTGCTGCTATGAACATTGGGGTACAGATGGCCCTTCTGCTCACTACATCTGTATCTTTGGGGTAAATACCCAGTAGTGCAATGGCAGGGTCATAGGGAAGCTCTATTTTTAATTTCTTGAGGACTCTCCGCACTGTTTTCCGGAGCGGCTGCACCGACTTGCCTTCCCGCCAGCGTGTAAGCGGCTCCTTTCCCAGCTGGGACCCATCTACCAATGACACGAGCACGAACTTCTCTTGACACACGAGCAAGCGCGATCCCAGCAGAGGAAACACGCGGTTCACACGCTGAGCCCGTCGGGCGTTTCAGGCCCTGCACGGTTAGACACTCAGCGGACTGAACCGTTTCTAACATTTAAAATAAAACCTTAAAAAAGCAGAACTCTTTTACCACAATACACAAAAGAATGAATTAAAATTGGCTTCCAGGGGCGCCTGGGGGACTCAGTGGGTTGAGCCTCTACCTTCGGCTCAGGTCATGATCTCAGGGTCCTGGGATCGAGCTCCGCGTCCGGCTCCCTGCTCGGCGGGGAGCCTGCTTCCCCTCCCCCTCCGCCTGCCCCTCTGCCTGCTTGGGACCTGTGTGTCAGATAAATGCATAAAATCGTTAAAAACACACACTAAAGCGTGTTTCCCGTTTGGCTGCGGGCACCTGTGTCCTCCGCGCGCTCCGGGTACGCGGCAGCGGCTCCGCAGTCCCTCCGGGTCCACCGCGGCTCCGGACGACTCGCTCCCAGCGCGGGCGGGCGACCTCGGCTCCGCGGAGATGACACCGTCACTGCCCCGCGCCTTCAGGGCACACACGGCACACGCGGGCACACGCGGACACACGCGCTCACACCCACGCGCGGGAAGGGACGGCGAGCGCTGCACGTCGGGACGCACGCAGCGCCCGTGTTCGCACGCAAGCCCCCGCCACGTGACCCGACGGGGGCGTGGTCTCTGGCGCTCGCGACGGAGGAGTCTTGTCCCGGCCGAGCCGCCGTCGGACGCCCGGTGTCGGAGGTCACGGCGGCCTTGGCGGTGGCGTTTTTTTCTACCCGGAAACCGCGGCTGCCGGACCCGGAGACGAGTCTGTGTCGCCACGGCGTGAGCCGGACTGGCCGCTGGGCCTCGCTTGGGCCCCGCGGAGCCTGACGCCGCCCCCGGCGCGGCGGGGAGGATGGTGCCGAGCGGCCCCGGGCCCGCCGCGCGCCGCCGCGAGTGAGCTCTGAGCGGCCGCGGGCGGCCGCCGACCAGCTGGCCCGTCTGGGCCCGGGGCGCGCCGCTGCCCACCGGGGCGGGGTGAGCGGGGGCTGGCGGGCCGGGGTCGGGGTCGCCGGGGCCGAGCGCGGGGCCGAGTGGGGATCGCGCTGCTTGGGAGCGGACCTGCTGGCCGGGTGGCCCCGCAGCCTCTCGGGGCCGCAGCCGCCGCCCGGGTCGCGGTGGGGGTCGCTCCGCCCGGGCAGGGTCTGGCCTGCGCCGCCGGCCTGGGCCTGATCCCCGCCGCCGGCTGGCCACCCGCACCCGGAGGAGCGGTGCCCGCGTCCCTCGAGAGGGCGGGACCTCCCCGTACGCACCCGAGGCCTGGACAGTTTGGACTCGGCGCGGGCGCCTTTGGTGGTGGCGGTGTTTGACGCGGTCGTGCCGGCGTCCCCGCTCCCTCCGCGACTTAGCGTCCGCGAGAGAAGACGGGAGGGGACGCGGGTGTGCGGAAACGGAGCGCTGGCACTGCGCGTCGAGGGCTCGGTGGCTGCCCCGGGGCGGCGGGTGACCGGCTTCACGCGCACTTTGATGAACTCAGGGGCGGCCGCGGGGTGACCTGGAGGCGCGTAGTTTCGTTTCTCGGGGTAAGCACCGTGAGCGGTAACCCCGAGCCTGCTGGGCCGCTTCGAATCTGTGAGCACCAGAGCCGGGGACAGCGGGTGAGGGGCTCCGTTCGGGGCCCGGGGCCTGCGCCGGAGTTGTCAGCGGCAGGCCGAGCCCTCGGTGACGGGTGGGGGCTTCCTCGCAGCCCGCTCCGCAGCGGAAAGACTGCGGATCCTCGCGAGCTGCTGTGTCCTGCCTCGAAGGTGAGCCGCGGTGGGAGCAGGTGGGAGGGAATCCCCGCGCCGGACTTGGATGATTGGGTGACGAATGTTTCATAAATCGGTTTGTCCCCAGAGTTCTCCGGTTCCCTCGGGGTCTGAGCACTTGCGAGCTCTGTGTGCAGCTGCTTGAACACCTTCCCGCTTCCCCCGTGTAAGAAAAGGAAATTGACCTGTTGTGCAGCAGAGATGTACTTCGTGACCCCAAGCCTGCTTTCTCTCTTGCACAAGGACGCATTGTGTGGACTTCCCAGTAGAGGTGTGGGAAGAATGGCTGTGGCCTCCTTGAGGGGGACTGGAAGTGGGGGCTGCCACCCACGCCAGGGTTCTGAGATCCCCAAATGCTGAGGGAACACCCTCTGTTTGGGCTGCAGCTGCCGCAGCTGCAGGGAAGAGAGACCAGACCTGCAAATAGTTCTGCCCGCAGGGAACATGCTTAGAGCAGTAAGAAGTGGCAGGCTGCAGTTGCCATATGGCTTTGTTACGCTTAAGTGTCATAAAGGAAGTGGCTTTTAAGGTGGACCTCAGGGGGTCTGGAGCATTTGGGTCTTTCACAATTAACCCGTGAAATGGAAAAGCAAGGACCAGTTAATAGAACAGCACCCAGACTAGGTAGCTGGACAGTGGGGTCCTGCAGTCATTGGCCTCGGAAGTCCGTTAAGGGTTAAATGCTTCTCGGGTGCCTGGGTGCTCCGTTGGTTAAGCGTCTACCTTCAGCTCAGGTCATGATCCTGGAGTCCCAGGGTGGAGTCCTGCATCGGGCTCCCTGCTTGGCAGGGAGTCTGCTTCTCCCTCTGACTCTCCCTCTTCTCTTGCTGTCTCTCTCTCAAATAAATAATAAAATCTTTTTTTAAAAAAGAGTTAAATTCTTCTGCTTCTGCTTTTTAGGATTTATTTATTTGGGAGGGGGAGAGGGAGAGAATCCTCATGCAGACTCCCCGCTGAGCGTGGGGCCCAACTCCAGGCACCATCCCAGGACCCTGAGATCATGACCTGAGTTTAAATCAAGAGTTGGACACTTAACTGACTCAGCCACCCAAGTGCTCCAGTTAAATGCTTTTCTAAGACAAAAAAAGCCGAGGCTACGCAGTCTGGCTTCTGGTAGATTTCGGTTCTAAAGAATTGTTTTCTGTGGTGGGTTTCTTTTGTTCTTTTATGCCGCCAGTGACACAAGGGGTGCTTGACTTATTTTAAGGACAATGAAAAAGATGCTGATGGTGATTTCTGTCTGGTATTAGCAATCAGGAAATTAGATTTGGTGTCTGCACGATGTTTCCGCGCCTGTGTTTAGTTTGTGAGAACACAGCTCTGGTGTGGTCTCTGATGCTCTGGCTACAGCCGGGTGATGGACGGCGCTTTTCCGCCAGTCCCCGAGCTTGTTCACTTCCCAGACCTGCGGTTTCTCTGACCCGGTATCCTTCACGGAGGATGCCCTGTAACTGCTTCGCATCATCGTAACCAGTCTCAGGACCTCACTGACTTCAGCCTTATCCTTTGAGCCTTGCTCAGGACTGCACTCTCTTGACTCTTTAATGCTTCTTTTAGACGGCTCTTCCCTTTCTACCCGCTGCTCTGCTTCCTCGTCACAGATGAGCGTCTGAGAAAGAGTGGTTTTAATGGGCCGCAGCACGACATTAGTCCAGGGACAGACAATCTGTGGGATTTTTTTTTTTTTTTGGTCAGTAATATGCCGCAGAATTCTGTTGCCATGTGAGAGGGTTTTTTAAAAAGTATCTTACTATGACACTACAATTAATATAAAAAATGATATGTGGAATTTAAGAAACAAAACAGGTGATCCTAGGGGAAAAAAGAGAGGCAAACCAATGAACAGATTCTTAATTATGGGGAACAAACTGATGGGTACCGGGGGACATGAGCAAGGGCACGGGTGAAAAAGGTGGTAGGGATTGAGGAGCGTGCTGTTTTCGATGAGCGCTGGGCGATGTGAGTGTTGAATCGCGAAATTGTACACCTAAAACCACTATTACTATCTGTTAACTAACTGGAGTTTAAATAAACTTGAAAAAAATAAACCAAGCACAGTATCATAGTGATAAAAAAAAGGAAATGGAGGAAAGAGTTTTTAGCAAATTGATTTTCCATTTTTAATAAATACGGAAATCTTTAAATTATCTTTCCCTGGTACAAATTGAATAAATTTGACCAGAGGTTTGTAGTTTGTGTATAATTACAGATCTCAGTGTAGTCCTGGGGACTACAGAAGCCTTTGGCGATGACAGTCTGCAAAGTAAGGTCATTTTCCAGTTGGTCTTTTATGCTCCTTGGTTAAAAGTGCTGTTTTCATGGTATCTCCCACTTGTTACACTGAATTTGGATGTTACAATATAATTTCGCATTGAACGTTTAGTGTTCATTTAATCTTGTCATCACTCATGATTTATTTTTTTAATATCTGTTAATTAAACTCCCAAGTCATTAAACTTTTATGTGGGGATACTTTTAATTCGGTTTTTAAGATGGTCAGCAGTTTAAAAATATTAAAGAACAAAAATAAATTATTTTCTGTTCTGGAACTATGGTGAATTAATTTTTTAAAAAAGGGAGAGGGGCATGTTGGAGGTTACAGTGATTTTACATTATGACTTTGAAAATGGAGCCATGCATTCATTAATTATAAGTGAGTACAAGTACAGCCTGAGTCTGAATTTTGAAAGTAAGTCTGCTTACAGACGTAATTATATCAGCCTGTGTTGTTCCTTTCCTTTTTGTCTTTGAGTACTGGTGTTGCCTAAAATGCACATTTCGCAACTAAAACTTTATGCTTTCTGTTGTAATTTCTCTTTTGATCATTTAAACTTTTGAGTTATGGTGAAAGTTTTTTCTACACTGAATTATATTAGCTTGAGAAACCATTGACAAAATTCTACTCATCTTTGCTTTGTACTCTAATGGATGAGCATTTTGAGACATGAATTGCCTTGTTTCTAGAGATGGAAAGTAAGTTCACCATTTTAAACTTCAAAAATGTCGGTTTTGTGCTTTTTGAATTCCATGACTAAAAATATTTTCTATATCCGTGGCTTGTAAAAAATTTTGTTTATTTTCAACTTGACATTGGACTTGAAACCTACTTATCAATCCTGGTATTGTGATTGATGACACAGCTTTTGGGCTTGGATGAATTAAGTCAGAGTGTTTCTGCCACTTATTATCTTGCACAAATTACTTAGCCTCTTTTGACTCAGTTTCCCCTTCTGTAAAATCAGGATAGTAGGATCTACCTAGCATTGTTGTAGGATTAAGAAGTACAACGTGAGTAGAGCACTTGGTGTGGTGTCTGGCACAGGGCATGCTGTAGGTAGTCGCTGTTAGACAGGATACTTTCTCCTTAACCCTTGCTAGTCTGGTTTCTGCCTTCCTCATATCCCCTTAGTGAGAGGGCTCTCGCTTGTATCGCTACTGATGTCTTAACTGCAAAGTTTTATGTGTACCCTCGGTTTTTACCTCATTTGATGGGGGTTGACTTGACTCTATCCAAATCCGTAACATTTACTGGGAGGCCGCACTGTGCTTACTGGTTAATGCGCTGGCTCTGGAGGTGGACTGGATTTGAGTCTTGGTTCATTTCCTACTGTATGACCTTGGGTAAGTTAGCTGACTGCCTTAGGCCTTAATTTCCTCTTCTGTGCAATACAGATGTTGTAGGGCACGTACACAGTACGTGCAGGACTCCTGGAACCGTGTGCCACTCACGTGAAAAGTGGGCAGTCGTGTTCGATGTTACGTTAAGCACCAGCTCTGAGTCAGGCGGTGCCTGTCAGGGGTGGGCAGTGCAGAAATATCATGGAAAGGAGAGGCAACACGAGCAGGTACATGCGGCTTTCGGTTTGGCTAAAGGAGGCGGTGTCTGGGGAGGGGGAGCAGCTGCTCGTGAGCGAGGTTACAAGGTGGAAACTGCTAGACGGTGACTGTGGGAGGGAGAGACTCAGGAACGGCTGGCAGTGGTCACTGGGGGGATGGCTGTGTCTGTCTGGGAGGAGGGGCTGATTTGGCGAAAGCGGATGAGGTTGGACCCGGTCGGCTCCAGGTACCCGTGGGTTAGCTCAGTAGAGGGCTTCGGTGGGTGGCTGTTTAGAGCTGGGGTGGGAGATCAGTACGGAAATTTGACGGGAAGCTGGGAATGAGTGTGTCTGCCTTGCGCAGAGGCCCAGCCGTGAGCTTCGGGTGGAGGCTGAGCTGCAGCCGCTCTCCGAG